CTTTCTCCACTTGCATCTTGACATGGACATGGTCTGACAACATTTTTTCTGCTATGTTCTCATGATGTTACTTTCATCTCATCTTCAACCATACCTGAGACAGCTTAAAATCATCCATAACCATGCTATGTTAAAGTATTCCTCTTTAAGTGGACAATAAGCTGTGCAGTTTTGCAATGAGCACAGTCTAACACACTTCACAGATCATTTGGTCAGTGCTGCAGTCAGGTGAACTTTACAGGGAGGATCATTCTGGCACTTTCTGACCAAGTTAGACTTCTGTGGGCATGTTCCATAATCTATGGGTAGTATTTTCCAAGGTCATTCTGCTTTGAGTAGAGGAAATAGTGGGAGAGTAATGAATCAGACCAAACAGCAGCTGTGAGGGTGAGGGAGAGGCTGTATGTTAAAAAGAGAAAATAAGATGATAATTTCTCTGCTGCTTCCCAATGCAATTTTTCCTAGCACCTGTAAGCTATTTTTCAGGCAGTTTTTGAACAAAGATTTAGCACTCTTCTAGAATTCTACTCAAGTTGTATCTAAAAGGAGCCCAACCAGCATCTCTGCTTTGGCAGTGTTTTGCGGTTGATGAACAGGCTTCTTTTGGAGATGAGCTTAGCATTGTTCCAGAATAGCCTAAAGCCCTGTTTATGGGAATTCAATTATAAGCTCATAGTCATGATCTAGTTTAATGCACTCGCACAAAACACTTGCCCCAACCAGAATGAATGGTTGGTAGTTAAACATGCTGGTCTAGCCATCTTCAAAACTTATCTCCTCCCCAACACCATCCCATGTTACAGTAATATTGGTGGTTATTTTCCCATCGGATGGTTACATTTGGTGGGAATGGAGAAAAACATAGCTGGGGAATCCACCAATCTTTGTCATTAATCTGCACTATGCACCTTAAATAAATACGGCACCATTTGCTGGCATGCCTATAGCAGAAATAGGACTGTCAATAGACCCAGCAAGTTATAGTTTTCTAAAAACTCAAGGACAGGTGGGTAGCACTTTAGTTCAGCTGTCAGGAAGACTTATAATATAAACAAATTCATATTAATGCATCTATAAAATCTGCATACCAGTTTTAAACACAGCAATGAAAGGAACTTTGTAATAACAAGTCAGCCTAAAACTCAGGGCAGAAAAATAATCTAGAGAACTAAAACAGTATAAAATCAAAGTGAGCTAAAGGCATGGGAAAATATTTTTTTTTCTCTTGGAAATGGAAGATTTTTAGAATAGATGAGGCAAGCCTTCTGAGTAGGCTGTCTGAAAGATAATAAAATATTGCTGAACTTGCATCAGTTTCCTAAATCTTAGGCAGAGGTCTTTCCAGTAATCCAATTCTACCTGATCCTTTTAGTTAGTGATAATGCATGGGACATTCTGCGTACAAATGAACTAGTCCTTCTCTTTTTATTTGTAAAAGTTGGATTTTGAAAAAAAAGATAGGTGCAAAGTCAGTCAACAATGCAGTGTAATGGTTTGATGTTGTTTCTGTCTCTTCTGATGTTGATAGATTTCATCATTATAGTTCTTTAAGAAGCCAATTTATGAGATCATACAGACTACTAACTCAGTTTTGTGTACTTCACTGGTAGCAATTCTTAAACAGAGGTCTTCTCCAACCACTGCAAAGGCTTGAATTTGAGATCGTTTATATATAAGACATCTACTATTGATCTTCTCTTCCCCATAATGAAACCCATCATTAACCATTTTGATTTACTGATTTTCTGAAGCCCCAGATAAATTTCTACATGGGTTCAGGTTACAACATTTTTTTGCTCTGAAAGACAGACACAGATCTCATTCTGACAGTTCAGTTTTATCCATGATTATTGTGAAAGAAGCCCTAATTAGTTCAATAGGACTAGTTTAGGGTTATACCACACTTCCCTTACCTGGCATCTTTTGGAAGTGTAGGACTACAGCCCCCAGTCAACCAAGTCCATAAACATGCTGTGGATTAGGAGCAGTTTGGAAAAAGCTAGATGTCATCAGCATTATAACTTTTTTTCCAGGCACTCAAGACAGCTTTCATGGGGAACAACAACATTGGGAAGTAAGTTGAACTAAGGAAGTGTAACTGGTCCCAAATCCATTCCTATGGCTGTGATTGGAGTTGAACCTGACTCTCCCCAGTCCTGTTCCACACCTTACCTAGTGCACCACATTGGCTCTTGGTCTGAGGGTCTACAGCCTTAACTATTGCAGTGCTTAGCCAGAACAATGAGATAGCAAAGCAAGAATCTATTCTAATTTTAAGCTGGTGAATCAGGTCAGAATTATTTGCTATGATGTCACTAGGACAATAAAAGGAAGCCTCAAACAATTCTTAGCCCTGGAACCACCAGTGGGAGGGAAAAAGCTGATGGACAAAAATGTATCCTCTTTAACGTAGCTGACAGAGCTAGTGAGCCCAAAGGCCATAGTGTGGGGGTGGGGGGTGGGGAGAAAGAAAAACCCAAAACTCTACCTGGGAGGTGACTAGGTTCAGGGACACTGTCAATATGCCAAAACTGTGTTTCTGAGCCACCTGCTTCCCCCCAACTCATGACTCCTTAAGAAATAACAAAAGGGATCAAGTTTGGTTTGTATCCAATTGCAGAAGGAGATGAGAATTGGGTTGACTGTGTTTACTCCCCATTCAATTTCCCTTCTCCTCAGTGTCTGAGGCCTAGCACATGGCTGCTCTTCTCAAATGCCAGGGCTGTTCCTTGGTTCCTGTTTGAAGTTTCTTTGGTGGACTCTACACATTATGCAAGCTAAGGTGTCTCTGGTATTGCTCCTTCCAATCTTACATAATTCTTTTCCTATCTAGACTCTTGGGATGTTCACATGCATGCTTTCCACAGATGAAAAAGTGATCAACATTCCATTTGGGGAATTCCCACCATTTTCTCTGTCTTTATTTCCGAAGCATATTTTGCCCTTTTCAAATGTCAGTTTCTTATAGGGTCCCATAATTATACCCCAAAGGTCATGGAGCAAATCTTCCCAACGCTACTCACATAATAGCATTAATTTCAGTTGAAAGGCAGAGACAGAAAGGGATGGCTTTTAATCTTTCATGCACATTTTTCTGTACATATCCCAACCCAAGCAATATTTATTATGGTTGTTTTACACATAGCAAAGAATCTGTGTTCATTTTGATGTATTAGGCAGATTTTATGTAGGTGCGATTCACCCTTTACTTTTGTACAGTAATGGAAATGTCCACTTAGGTCCCATTCTGGTGACGTTTGACATGCGGAGTTGTTTTACCATTTTTCTTCCACATGGTTTCAAATACTGCCATTTGAAATGGCTATGTTGTGGGACCCAAGGTTAGTATAATCTTCAGTTTTTCTTAATCAGAGTTTTAAATATTTATTAGTGATTAATCCAGTACTGCACTTGCAATACAGTAAATGACAGATTCTTTCAGTTATTGTGACTCCAAAGACTATCAACTCCAACCTGCCTACCAAGATTGGACTGTTAAGAAATCACCCCTCATCTTACCAACATAAGCCAGCTTCTGTGTTCCACAGTACAGAGACACATATAGAACAGCCAAGTGTCGATAGAATTAACAGGTTTGGAAGAGTCAGAAGTAATAACAAGTAACTAAGTTAAACATATCCATGGAGCTTTCCAAATGCAAAGTACATTAAAGTACACATTCCTACTAGTTAAATGCTAAACTTTTATTTAAGCCAGGCTTTAATAATAATCAGGGGGACATGAAAGGCACTGAAGGTCATAGAATGGAGTGAGACTCTTTCCTAACCAGAATACTGTATGTGACTATGATCCTGTATATAGTTTGGCTATTTAAATGCCACTGAATTCAATGGACTTTAAACAGCCTAACCGAACCTAAAGAGCTTCCCCAGAATTGCAGTGTTTGGCTGAAATCCAGCACAGAGCCAATGCATTGAAGCCCCCAGAAATCAGTATCCATAAACTTTATCTTGTGAGAGAAAATCTAGAAAAACAAGGAGATAGTTAAGATACAATACTGGCAGGAAAATTATTTCAGGTGTTCAGAAAAGAATAGATTGTGAAATCAATTGTTTATTTTCTAGATCCAAATTATGGTTGAGAATGTCACCTCTTCCACTGGTTGCTGTGATAAGTTGGAAAATTGGCCACTTGTAATGGGCCTATAGCCTACCCTGTTAAGTGATGGTTTGGAGGTGCTGACAAGAAATACAAGAGGATTCATATGATGTGGCCAGAAGTGTACCAACACTCTAACTTTTGCACACAACTAAATCTGTGGCATTGTTTCAAGGAGCTAGCCTTGAAACAGCAGAACTCTCTTCATTGTGGGGCCCAGTTGCTAAATTATTGTTGTGAACTGATTAATGCAATTCCACTTTCAGTGTTCCCTGAACAGAGTGTACAACCTCCAAAAAAAGTGTTTGGAAAATGATATATATAGAAACAGATATATTTTGTATTGCACATCATCAGAGAAAGAGCTATCTTTGTAGCACTGTAAATAATAGTAAATCTTAATAATTTGGGAACATGAAGAGCATAAGAATACTTTATCCTAGCAACAATGAAATATCTTTAAACATCTTAGCAAGTTAAATACCTCCAAATTCTATAGATTTTAATGGAGGGGGTTAAGTATTCCACAGCTGTAATTCTTGGCTAACGTTCTGTAGCCCATTCAATAAGTTTACCCCAGTTCTATGAGATTCATAAATCAAGTTGCTGGAATTTAGCTGGAATTGTCTGATCTTTTAAGCAAAGAACAGGGAGGAGGAAATAACAATACCCCACCCCCAGTATTACTAACGCAACTGCACCTCGCAGGAGCAGCCAGCGCTCACCGCTGCTGCAACATCAGTATCCCTCAAGTCCTAGTTACTTAGACCTTTCCATCTTACCTGATCCTACAGATGTGGGCTCGGAGAAAAACCAAATGCACGGGTGTTATTAAGAAAGTTGGAGTTGCGCTAAAAAGAGCGGAGGGGAAAGAAACTTACAGGACAGCCTCCGCGCGTGTCTCGCAGGGCGAGGAGGCGGCCGCGGCGGTACACCTACGGGCTGGTGGAGCGTCCCCTCTTCTTGCTTAGTTCAGTCTCTCTGCCCGCTCCAAGCCCTTCTCTTCGCCTTCTGAGCGTGCTGGTGGTACTATTGCTAGAAGGCGGAGGCTGAGCTCAATCCAGTCCCCTGGGTAACTCGAAGAGAGTGTCATGAGACTTGGACCTGTCCGGTGTTAGTTCTGGATTTATAGCAAGGGACTCTGCCCGCTTGTTTCCCATCTAGCTCACTCCACCCGCCCCATTCCCTCCTGGGAGACCCCCTTTTGACCATCTCTCTTTCTTCCCGCCCCATTGCCCCTCCCAGCGCGTGATTCAGCCTGCCTTCCAACCTCCACCATCCTCTTCCCCGCCCCCGTCGTCCACCAGGCTCCCGTAATGAAATTGCGGCGTTGACGGACACGCGTGTGCCTCAGCTTCGCCTTCCCGGCGCCTGAGGGAAAGGTATCCATCAGCGCGCTGCCCTCCCGCGTCTCCTCGCCCTATGCGACTTCGTTTCTTTTCTGGTTCTCCCGCTTTTGGGTCGAGACAACTTTTCGCCCTGTTTCTTCAGAACTTAGAGGAGAAAGATGGAAATAAAGCTGGGAACGATCCCTCGGCCGGAGGAGGGTCCTTTGCAAAGTTTTGCGTTCTTTGACCGGCGGGGGAACTGAAGTTCCAGTGTGTTTTGCCTTTATCCGAGGGAGGCGGAAGGCTGAAGCGGCGGCGCTTTCTCCTCGGACGATTTCCAAAGAGCCGCCCGCCGACGGAAAGCGAGCAGCTTGTTCACATTTTCAAGGGCCTCCAGCAGGTCCTCATGGGAGCGATGACCTGAGGCACAGCTCAGTATGGTCTGGGCATTGCACCTCAAGTGTGTGAGTTGCAGAGCATTTCACACAGCCTCCCTCACTGGTTTCTGAAGTTCTTACATTGTGTGTGTGTGTGTGTGTGTGTGTTTGTGTGGGAGTGGGATGGGGATAACAGCTCAGCACCTTCTATTTTGCCTTTTATACTGTGCTCAAAACTTTTGTACAACGTCTTGGTAGTTCTCAGATCTGGACCCAGTAACTTCTAGATGTCTGGGACTTAAACACCCATTCTCTGCTATGGGCAGGAACCAATGTAAAGGGATTGTGACAGATGAGATCCAAAACATCTGGGGAATGCCAGGTTGCCTTCCCTGTCTCAACATCATCTTCAAATCAAATGCAAACGGCAGACAAGTGGGCAAAATGTATAACTTAACTGGACATTTCTTTTGATATGTTAGTTTAGTTTTGTTTTGCACTTTGTGGGGATTTAATTTGGGATTTGAACCCAGATCTCCTACTGGAATACACTGAGGCCTAATCCGTACAGTGCCTTGTGCCACTGCAGGCATGCCTCATCCTTCATGTCAAGAGCACGTGTCCATAAACTTCTACCAGTATCCCACTGCAGATTCATCCATAGGGTGGGTACTTGTGCTCCTCAGCAAAGTGGTGTTCCCCCTCATCCTGTTTCAAGTCACCGTATGCAGGCAATGAACACTGCATTGATGAGTGTTGGGGAGGTATGTCAGATGGCACTTCTGCTTCTCCCACTGGTCCTGCCGTATGCCATAGCACACCCTGGTCCTTTGCTGCTCTGTCTGCCCCTCCGTGTTCCCATGGCTGCACAGCCAAGTGGAGCTCTTCACACCAAGGCAATTCCTGTTTTGTGCAAGTCTCTATGTATTTTTATTCTCTTTTTTGAAAAAGGGCCCATCGGTCACAAAGTCAACTATTCGTTGCTTCTGTGAAACACCAAAGCCTCAGAACGTGCCCTACACTTTACCCGTACTTGGTCCTTTGGACCTTTTCTCATGTGGTTGCTTTAGATCCTGCTTTCCCAATCCTCTTATCTTGGGATGTTCATCAGGTACCTAGTTGCTGCTATGCCATACCCTTTGGCTTGGATTGAAAAAACAGACGGGGAGAGTCTGGACTTTTATCTGGGCAGCTTAAAGCACTTTGCTTGATTAGAACAGCACACACTAGCCACCTCCAGGAACACCAGCAGTCAAGAACCGGTCTGTGGGGTAAAATCCCTGAGTGGGGGCAGAAATGGCTTTAAGGAAAAGCAGAGCTGCTTGCACTGTGGAACAAAAGATGGGCAAGATTTCCTCACAGACAGCAGATGGCCACTATCACAGAAGTGGAGAAGCAACAATGTGGTCTTTGGTCAGCTGCAACTCCCTCCTTTTCACACAGTCCCACGAGGGTTAGTGTATGAGTGGTGGCTTCCCCTTCTACAGAGAACCCTATACAACTCTTCCTGTAGCCTTGTAAATTTCATCCAGACTTGCAGAGATGTATGTTCAAAGACTTTCCTCTTGAGATCATGCACAATGCGCCAGTCTGCAGCTAAAAAGAGTAGATGGCTGCTGGCAATAAGCAACCCCTTTCAGCCTGACTCCAGGACCAACTCCAGGACCAACCAAGAGGAGCTCAATTTCCTCAGCCCACCAATGTGCCCCAGCCTTACCAGCTGTGGTACATGAGAAGCCCAGAGTGCAAAGACAGTTGCCCTCTGGAAATTGGCAAGAACATGACAGAGGTGCACAGCCTCTATTGAAATCCTTTTGTAACAGCATGTAAAAGGCCGAGTAGTTCACAATGTGACTGGAAAACAGAGGACAGGGTTCACAGCAACTGGATAGTTCATGGGTGGATGCATTGAAAAGGGCAGTCGATTTCTAAGATTGATGGAGTTAAAGAGCCCCATTGGATCCTTGAGTGTGAAATATGGGAATATATATAATTATGTGTAAATGGAGAGAAGGATGTTCATACACCATTGTCAGCTCAACCAGACAATGACACAGGATAGAAAAAAGAAGAAAAGAGAGAGATCATGCTGATTGAGCATTGGAAAGTGTCAGCAATGATGGTAAGGGCATTCCTTCTGGCTTGAGCGTGCAACTCTGAATATTCATGAAATGAGGAACTTGATTATGATGTGGAAAACTGACACTAATGTATGTATGATTATGTATATTTATTCTAAATGCAATAATAAATGCTTCAAACTCTTAAATGAGCAGTTGACTGCACATTAAAACAGATGTTTAAAAAAGGGTTGCACACTGGTTATACAGCAGTCAGTGGGGCTGGAACCGTGACTGTCCGGGGAGAAGGGTTGCCAGTGAAGGAGGACCAATCAGGGTCCTTACAGTGATGTGGATAATAGAAGAGTGAACATGCAGTAAAGGCCTGATGTTGAGCCAGCAAGGTGAGAGATGACATGATTTATCATCAGCACTGGAAGCTAAGGATCTGCCCTGGGTGACAAACAGAACCTGCATTTGAGTCAACTTGTATCTCAGCTGCAGTGAAGAAACAGTAGGGTTGTGGAAGATCCTTTTAAAAGTAGTTGGCTGGTTGCTAAATGATTAGGTGCATCTCCAATGGTTTGGTGATTGATCTAATCAAGAAAATCAGGGTTTGTGGCATTCAGGCTAACAAAAATTATGCAATAAACTTTCATGTTTTATGCTCCATGTGCATTGGATGAAATGTGAACTGTAGTCCACAAGAACCTATGTCATAAGGTATGCTAGTCTCTAAGGCTGCACAAGATTCTAAGTTGAGAGCTTTTGCAGATGATCTGATGCTGGTTTTGGAAGATCCTTTAAAGGGGATTGAACTACTAATGAGAAAAATAAAAGAATTTGGTGCATTAGCTGGTTTTAAGATTAATAAACAGAAGACAAAGATGCTAACAAAAATATGAAGACACAAGATCAAACAGAATTGATTAACAAAATGGGTTTCACGATTGAGAAATAGTAACATATTTGGGTGACAAATATGAACTATATGTTATTTCAAAATAACTGTTAAGACATGGAAGTTAAAAAGGATATGTTAAGATGGGATGAATTACAATTGTTGTTGTTGGGGAGAATTTCTGTGATTAAGATGAATCTTTTGCTTAGAATGTTATTTTTGTTTCAGACAATACCTGTTTTGACAACTAATATACCAATTAAACAGTGGCAGAAAGATATATCTAAATTTATCTGGCAGGGGAAAAGGCCATGAGTCAAATATAAGGTGTTACAAGATGCTGAAGAGAAAGAAGGTTTGAGTTTATCTGATTTTAAATTATATTTTACAGCTTGCTGTTTACTTTGATTGAAAGAGTGAGTGATGCTGAGAAATAGAAGATTATTGGAGCTAGAACACAATTTGAAGTTTGGTGGCTTGGTTATTTATGGTATGATAAAGCTAAGGTTAATGTTGACTTTAAAAACCATTTTGTTAGACAGGCCATATTGAGAATATGGAATAGATATAAATGCAGATTGTGTCTGAAAATTCCTTTGAGGCTTTCACCACAAGAAGCATATTATAGAAGACAAATGATAACTAAATATAAATGGTTAACTTATGGTGATATATTAGAATTTTCCCAAGGAAAATTCAAAATGAAATCAGGAGATGATTTGACATTAGAAGGATATACGTGTCAATGGTTTTCCTATCTATAATTATTAGAAAGATTTAAAGTAGATAAAAGGAATTTTGGTTTTGAATATTCTAAGACTGAATTTGAAACAGAACTATGCACAAATGGTGCACATGTTATTGCTAAAATGTATAAACTTTTACTGAGATTTAAAACAGAAGAAGAAGTGAAAGAATGTATGATAAAATGGGCCAAAAATGGAGAATATATGGATGGAAAGACTGAAATTTACATTATGTTATAATCTTAAAAATAATTTTTATAAAATGATGTATTGTTGGTGCTTGTCACTGGAAAAAATTGTCTAAAATCTATAAAGGTACTTCGAATATATGTTGGAAATGTGAACAAGAGGGGACTTTTTATCATGCTTGGTAGACATGTAAAAAAGCTAAAAAAAAGATTGGATCCAAATACATACATTAATTCAGAAGATTTTATAGATTAATATACAATTGAAATCAGAGATGTTTCTTTTGGGACTGATTGATAAAGAACTGGAAAAAAACTCATGGAACTTTGTTCTTACACATGATAACAGCAGTGAGACTTTTATATGCGCAGAGATCGAAAGACAAGATATTACTGACGGTGGAAGAATGGTTGGTGAAGTTGATGGAATTAGCAGAGATGGCAAAATTAACAGCTTTGACCAGAGAAAAGACATTGATTAAGTTTAATGCTAATTGGAAATCCCTTGTGGACTTTTTGTGCAAAACAGAAAAAATGAAATTATGATATATGGGTTTGGTGATTAGAAAAAAT